ATTCTAACATTTCATTGTAACCTGTTCTGCAGAAAATGAAATAAGCTAAGCCAGAGTTAATGGTGTTGTGCTGCTGTAAAAGCAAGCTGTATGTTAGCAGGAGTACCTTGTTTGAGACCTGGGAGGTAATCCTCACACTCTAGTTTTTGCTGATAAGATCTAGATCAAAGAGACTTGGGCAAGTTGGAGAAAGTCCAGAAAAATGGCAGTAAGGTTTATCAGAGATCCCATATAATGATTTAGGGAAACCAAGATTAGGGAAACGGAATGGAAGGAAAGACTATGGAGAAAGGTGATAACAAAAATATAAATACTTGTCATGAAACAGTAACAACCTGCAATCTGGTACTGTATTATATATATTTAGTCTTGAAGGGCAACAAAGGAGACAGCACACATGAGAAGATCTTTCTACAACTGAGATTAATGACAGGCAAGAATAGGTTGCATTGCAGTTATGGCACCTCTTTCAGGGGAGGATTTCATGGCATATTACTCCAACATCTGTCAGGAGTGACATAGAGAGGTGAGACGCTCTGGGAAAGGAACATAATAATCCATTACATTTGTTCTCTTCATTTCTTTTGCCTCCAATTTCTGTCACACCATAATTTGAATAGCTGAGGTATGGCTTAAACTCTGAAACCAACACTTTAACTTTTGTAGGCAATTAGTTTTGTAAAACTTACATCCCTAATTGGTCAAATTATTTCCTCAATCCTGCTCCCATAGCCTCTGAAAAACGATATTCAGATTTAGCATAAGATTACATCAAGCTTATACACATAAATAATATTGTACCAATCTATCTTGTGGTTTGGTTTGAATTTGGCCCAAAAATTTTGGCCCATAGCTTCTTTTTTATAAAAATGCGGTACTTTCCTGAGAACCAGAACACTGATATAAATCCCAACACTAAAGCATTTCCTTTTTAATGGACATTAAATCTGGATTTAGGCTGCTTTGGTGCCTGCTTTTCAGAAAGTGTGACTGCTGTTTAGCTAATTAGTGAAAAATCCATGAATCACTCTGGAAGCAAATTTTCCTCTAAAACGCCTTAGAAAAGCCCCAAGGCTGATTTATGACAGACATTCTAAACAGAAGATCAGCATTGCATTGGTCTGACCTCCTTGAAATCTTCTCATCACACAAAAACCCCAAAAGACTCTGTAGGTTTTGTGGCAATTTTCCTGAATAAATTCAAAATCCAGTTTGGAATGATCCTTTAAACCAGACTGGTTCACACTGTCCCGCACTGAGGTTTTCTTGGCCAGGCAGCAGGAGCAGTTTGCTACAGCTTTGTCATTTTCTGTCCTGCCTTAGCACAGCTCAGCCTCCAAGCAGGTTTACCGAGGCTCCAGCCCTCTCCTGCCACGTGGAAACACATTCCCCTCCTCTGACAACTGGCAAAATTCCAGTTGTGTCCCAAATTACACCTCCTGACGAGGAGAACCCCTCACATTCAACAGAGGCAGGGTCAGACTTGCAGCATCACCAGGGTAGCACTGAGGGGATGCACTACTGAGGAAAATCTCACTCTGGAAAATGTTTCAAAATCAGCACCTACTTGCAGCACTCCAATTTTTCTTTCATTCTGCAGATAAAATGAGAGTTGAAAAAACAACCTCAGAACAGAAAACTAATCCTGTTAAGCAATAGCATGGTTGTAAAACTTTGATTTCATTGCTTGCACAAGTGCTGTGATACTTTCTTATATATTGTCAGAGCATGTCAGCAAAAATAGGGTGAGAAACTGTTTCTCAAGCCCTCAAGTTAATCCTTCCTTGTTCTTTAAAGGATATTAGAAGAGTGGAAGTCCTCATGTCATCATTTCATTCTTTGTCTTGCCAGTACTGAGGTCTGATGAAGCCACAGGGTAACTTAGGAGTTTTCCTCAGTCCCTCACAGAGCCATGCAGCTGTCCTGACATTGTTAGGTCCTACAGCACTGATTTAGCCTCTGCCTTCAGTGAAATTTGGGGCTAAAAAAGATCTCTCTCCTTTCAGTGCTGGTAAAAAGTATGTGAAGGCAAAGGCTATTACAACATAATATTTGCTAATCTACTTTCAGCAGAGTTTCTCGGAACCCACAGTCATATGAGACCATCAATTAAAAAGATGAATTTCTAAATTTATGCATAGAATCGACCTAAGTATACTCTGAAAGAACCAGAAAATACAACATGCCAAAACTATTTCTGAAGTTAAGCCAGTCTCTTAGCTTTCTGAGTCTTGACAGACATGAAATGTTTAGGCAGAGTAGGACTGTGATGAAGGAAAAGGATGTGACTGAAGGAAAAGGTGGGGGTTTTCTCAGCAATCAGTCACCAAATTCACAAGGGAAAACATCAGATGTGTCTTTCTGTTTTAGATAATCTGTAAAGCACCAGCATCATTACAGGCTTGGCTCAGGAGATAACTGCACCATGGAAGTTGATCATTCACTATGATGAC